GGCTGCGTTCCCCGCGCCCACGCGGTAGACAATGCTCTTATTTTGGTGGAACTCCAGTTGCAATTCTGCTTTTGGGTCGAGGTCACGACTATCTGGTTTCATGTGTATGATGATGCTTGGTTTCTGGAATTCGCTATCGCTCATTTTCCTTGCATAAGGAAAATCATATCACCCCCTTTAAAGGCCTTTCAATCCCTTTCAAGCCCCTTTAAAACCCTTAACCCCCCCCCCCACCACCACCACCCTCCAAAACGACATGAACCAAGAAAAGAAAGAAGATGGGATTTGGGTCCCTCTGGGAGGGCGCAAAAATGCCCCATGATCAGAAGGGGAAAAAAAAAAGGTTTTGACCATTTTTTTTAACTCGCCCGGGTGACCCGGGCAAGAGGGTCCAAGTCGCACTGGCCCAGCTGCCCAGCCGGGCAGCCGGACCTGTTCCGGTCTGGTAGCCCAGGTTCCAATGGCATTTGCCAGTTCTTCTTTTGTCTTCTATGGGAAAATGTGCTTCACAATGTCAGATTTCTCCTTTTTTTTTTTTTTTTTTTTTTTTTTTCTAATTTGGACCATTTCTCTCGATTTGTGTGTCATCCTTGCTCAGGGGCCATGCTAATCTTCTTTGTATCATTCCAATTTTAACGGATGTCCCGAAGGACCATTTCTATTTTTTTCTTCTTTTTCTTTTCTTCCTTTTTTTTCATTCCTCCTCTTTGCCGCCACGGACTTGAGATATCATCCATCCAACTGACCGAGCATTTTTATGATTTTACTCGTCTCCTTCCAGTGGAGTTCGAACTCAGCACCTGGTCTGTATTTCAACCATAGTTGCGGTGCACCTATGCAGTGCGCAATGCGCTGCGAGCCCCCAGCGGTGCGTGCACTGATGCGCGATGCGGTCACTGATGCGTGATGCGTGCACTGATGAGCGATGTGCGCGCATCGACGCGGGGTGCACTATGCGTGGTGGACCCCGCGGCACTTCAATGCGCTGTTCGCCAGTGCGCTGGGAGGTGCGCAGGGCGAGCCCATTGGTGTGCATGCTGCACACATCAATTTTTATTTATATATTTATTTATTTATCTTTTTGGGGGGGACTTCATCAGGCCTATGCCCCTTCTTCGCGTCCTTCCCCGTGCCTATGCCCCTTCTTCATGCCTGTTGAGCTGCACAATTACCACCTTCGGGAGGCCATTTTTCCCTGCGCACAAACATTCCATCAATAGCCCTGGCGTCAGCCCCTTCTATCACTCTTGGAGCACCCCCCAATGCACCCCCTCCCCCCCCACCTCTCCCCTAACCCCCC